TAAATGTGAGTGATCAACACAGTGGCACTGAGGAAGAGGAAGGCATAGAGAGGTGCATGGGAGTTACAGACAACAAAGATGAACCCTTTTGCACATTCAGTATTGTGATGTCAGTGATGGCAAACATTGATCTATGGGTGCATAGATGGGTGGACAGGCTGAACTATTAGGTATGTCTATACAGGGGGGAGTGTGCCCAAGACCATGAATAGGGTTGGTAGACAATGTTTCTACAAGTGTATTGGTATGTTCTGTAAGAATTTCCGGGTATATAGTAGAGCTGAGAAGAGACATGGTTGTAGTCACTTCTTGGCCACAGCCAGCTATCCAGAGGGAGCAAGTAGTCGGACTTGTAGGCTCAGGACCATGGTCGCAGGGCACATCAAGCTTTAGCATAACATACTACACAAAACATTGTTTCACATCCTACTTTGGAAAGTAGTGACCGGGATCTTAAAAGCTTGCAAGTGGCCATCTAGAGGCAATGATGGGTCTCTCCTCGTCCAGAGCAAAGAAGAATGAAGAAAACCAAAGGTGAATTGAAATTAGTCCTAGTGACTGGTACACCATCTGATCTGCGCCTATACGACTATGAGACCAGAAGAACTAGATGGTGCCCAGCTACCACTGTCATCCACTTAGAAGGGGATCTATGTAGAAGATCCTGGATAGAGAGGGAGAACGATGTGGAACAAAACTCAAAATCATTTGGAAAAAAAAAAAAGGCACCAGGCACCAGGTTTGTTGGTCTGATAGAGCCTGGTGGAACCACTGAGACTATGGCTCCTAGCTCCCCTTCAGGTCTGGAATTGAACCCACTCCTGTGACTTCCAGCCAAACAAAAACAGGCATATGAGATGAACACTTACATTAGGTAGATACACTGCTTGGAGAGATCATGGGTTGTGTATGCACAGGAAGACAGCTCAGGGGGCAGGAGTACACGGGAGGGAAAGACACAGGGAACAGGTGGCTATGGGGATTCTGTAAAAAGTTGGAATTAGAAATACTATTTGACCCAGGAGAGCTGTTGAATTGTGGTTGACTGTAGCAATGTCATAAGACAAATTGTATATGAACTGCTGTATGGAAGATGAATTTACTCTGTAAACTTTCACCCAAAGCACAATAAAATTAAACAAACAAACAAACAGGTAAACAGTAATAGCAGAAGGGAATTCAGTCATTAGAACAATCAACCACAGGAGACTAAGAGGGCAGCATTTGCCCAGGGATAGACCTAGGCATGTGGGCGGGGATAGGGAGGAATGATGAAGGGAAGTGGTGGATGCTGAGAACAAGTGAGAAGAGCTGTTGAAATATGGAGACTATGGTGAATGTCACAAAACAGAATGTGTATAGATTGTTGAATGGAAAACCAATTTGTTACCTAAACTTTAATTTTAATCACAAGTTTTGTTGAACGCAATGACATGTTCACCAATAAATCTTGAATATAAGCTCTCCAAAGCTCAACACCCTCAATCAACAGCCTCAGAGAAAATGGATTCCACATAGTGTTTCCTTTCTCACTTTGCTCCTCTTAAGTTGAAGTGTTGGACTACAGCATCTAATCTTAGAACCCAGGAAAGACGCTTGTATTCTAGCTATAAGGGAGACTCAGCAAGTGAATTTTGTTTTCTTCTTTAGTAGTTTATAATAGTAATGTGGGAATTCCTATTATTTAAGATGCTACTCAAAATTGCTAGGCAATTGCAATGAATGTTAACATGAATAGAAAATGAACCAAGTTTGTATTAATTATATTAATGTAAAATTACAAGGTAAGCCTACTGAGAAATGTGAATGATTTTAGTAAAGAGAATTAACAACATTTTACTTGGTACAAACTGCTAGGTGTTAGTACTTACTGTTTAAAGCAAACTTTGTAATTTTGAAGAGCACAAAATTTCTCAAGCTAATTTATAAACATTGAATGATTGAATCATCTCAAGAACAAACAATATTTATTGGAAAGGATGAAGAGGTTAAAAATGTGTCTGAGAAAAATGATAGAAGATAATAAAAATATTTTATAGATAAAAGAATGATTCTGCTACCTGAAGTATTTTAGTAAACAGTGATTACAATATTACTTACCTAGCATGAATATTTAAATACAGGAGATCTGGTGGCATGTGGCCTAAGGCATTTGACTGCTAACCAGAAGACTGGTGGTTCAAACCCATCAGTCACTCCTCAGAAGGAAGATTGGGCAATCCACTTCTGTAGTGATACCACCTTGGAAACCCAAGGAGGGGTCACTATGAGTCAGATCCAACTCAATAGCATAAATATATAAATGCAGACTAACAAGAAAAGTATTGAAACCATAAAACTAGAAATTAAAATAACTATGCTCTTTTTGTGATTCAGTATGCCAACTGAAATAATTAATGAAATAATTGTTTCAGAAATTTTGGTAAAGTATGTAATTGGTGTACAACTAAAAAGAAAAAAAAATGTTATTTACACATTATTGCAGGTGGATTGAATAGTCCAATAATTAAGGAGGAAATAGATCTTAGTATTAGACATTTAAGATTATGATTTGGTAGCCTAAAATGGTTAAGCTTTCACAATCTTTGCCACAATCTTTAAAAACACATCATCAACTTATAAGATATAAGGTTTGCATAGAAAAAAGCAGCCTGTAAACAAAATTAAAGAAGGACTTAGAAAAATGTTTTTACCTTTATAAAATACAGAATTAAAATATTTCTACACTTTTTGTAAAATTGATATAACATAAAAATGTGTAAAATCACAATGGGTAACATGAAAAATAAGATCTGGTGGCATAGTGTTTAGAGGGTTGGTGGTTCAAACCCACCAGCCGCTCCATGGAAAGAAGATAGGGCAATCTACTTCCATAAGGATTTGCCACCTTGGAAACCCAATGGGGATTGTTATGAGTTGGAATTGACTCGATGGCAGTGAGTGTGGTTTGGTTTTATATAAACATATATATATATATTAATAATATTTCATTTTTGGAGCCATCACAAATTTTTAAAATTATAAATAGTAAAATTTTGCTGTTATAAAAATGGCAAAAATTATAAATCTCTTCAATATTGCCTCAGAAACCCAAGGAAGGGTTGCTATGAGTCAGATTCGACTCAACAGCAGTGAGTTTTACAATATCCTATGCTGTGTATACTTTATACACATTTGCATTTCAGGCACATAGTATTATTTCAACCATCAAATAAGTTCTCTATAAATGTATCTTGAATAAATTAATAAAATCTTGTGAGACACATAGAGAACTGACAAGGTCATAGGCTAAAGGCCACATAAAATTGTTTAATATTGTTGGAAATAGCATGGTCATATATGTTCAAGTAATTTGAACATTTTATACACTTTGATTCTACAGCCCTTTTTTTTAGAATTATGAAGACCAGAAGTTCCATTTTCAGTATTATTTATAAGATATAAGAATTGGAAATAACCTATATGTATAAAATAGGTGAATGGCTAAATATATAACGAAACCTGTGAGAGTAGGAACTCAGTGGAACTGCCTTGTTTTCCCAGGTCTCTCAATTTTTCCTCCTTTGACAGGGGGCAGTCTTACCACTTTACTATTATTTGTTTTGGTAGAAAATATTTGAGTTTTCCTCGTAGTATATCTTTTTCAGCTTTTGTGTGCTTTGTTACATTATGATATGAATTTCATTGAATGCCATGCATCCATGAACATTATAAAAGTAAAACTACACAGTTGTACATAATTTTTTAGTGCAGTTGAGTCAATTCCCATAGGTATAGGGACCTATGTGACAGAGTAGGACTGCCTCATAGGGCTTTCTAGGCTGGAATCTTTACAGAAGGAGATTGCCACATTTGCCCTGAGATGATACTGGATGTGTTCAAACTACCAACCTTGTGGTGGGCTTTCGAGCTCTCAGATCTTGTAGCTCCAGGGCTCCTTATACCAATACACAAAATTGGTATGAGCAAAGGCAAGAATAAAACAAATGATGTAAAAATAGTTTATTAGTTTAGTTCGTGAGATTGTATGTAAATTATCCTTATTTTATCCCTTCTTAGTTATAAAATTGCCTATTCAGAGGAAAAAAAAAAATAGAAAGTGTGCTTATAATTGTTGATATGCCTGTGTATCTGTTTATGTCTGTGTCTATGTATATTAGAGGGTATGGGGAGTGTGGTAGTTCAGTTTGTATGTCAACTTGGCTGGGACAGGTGGAGTGGCTGGACAGATAGATATAATATTCCCCATGATGAGACTGACAATCAAGTCCATGGTGGAATCTACTCTGAGCAGCTGAGTAGCTGTCTTGGAGAATGTGGTCTACTTCCCGTATATAAGCAGAAGCCTTGGGGAATGGTCTGTAGCTTATGGCATGCTTGGACCCTGCATGTAGCCGTGTCATTGTTCAGCAGCCTGCCATGCTCTGCTGACCTTGGGACTTACAATGGACTTAAATTTATGGCCTGCTGTGTGGTTTGGTAACATTAGGACTGTGCCTTTTTACTTGACAACCTTGGGCTCATCTGCCTTAGCAGGCAGTAGCTGTCTGAGTAAAGAAACACACCTCTACCTCCAGTGTGCCGGGAGCAGAAAGCAGAGCTGGATCCCAAGGTTGAGGGGGTTTCACCCAGCCCCTAGAGCCTGGCACTTTGAACTTGTACTTAAAGGCTCCAAATTGTAAGAGAATAAACTCCTGTTTGTTAAGGTCATCCCATTTATGGTATATTCTTGTAGAGTGGCCCTAGGTAACCAGAACAGGGAGTAGTGGGTCTATATTAAAATATTATAGTTGCTTATTTTCTCTTAATTTGGAAGAAGGAACAAATGCTTCTCATTTCTAAAAAGGGGTGAGTTACATGAATTATTTCCTTAATGACAATGGTTGCATTGTTTGATGAATCCACAGGGAAAACTAAAAATGTTATTTCTTTCCTTAAAGCCATGTTGAAGGAATTCAATATTATTTAATGTGTTCCTGGTATATAATATTGTCCAGCCATCAATGACAGGACAAAAATATCTTTTTGAATTTTCTACTCAACACTAACTTTCTGAAAGCTCCTTTCATGGCCTCATTCTTGAGGCTATAGATAATAGGGTTGAGTGTTGGAGGCATTACTGTATAAAAGATAGAAATCATGAGGTCAAAAAGAGCTGGAGATTCTGAATTTGGTTTGAGAAACTCAAAGATACCTGTGGAGAGAAAAAATGAGACAACAAAGAGGTGGGGCAGGCAGGTGGAGAAGGCCTTGGATCGGCCCGCAGCAGAGGGCATTCTTAGAACTGTGGAGAAGATGTGGATATAGGAGAGGCCAATAGAGATGAAGCAGATGAATGCCATCACAGATAGGAAAGCATCCACTCCAAACACTCCAAGGTAGTTATTGGAGCAGGAGAGCTTTCGTAACTGGGGGACATCACAGAAGAAATGGTGGATTATTTTGGCTCTACAGAATGTGATAGAGAATGTGGTTGTTGTATTCAAGATGCCAGAGATGCTACCACTTAACCATACAGCTATCACAGCCCACTTACATATATTGGGATCCATGATGACATCATAGTGCAATGGGAAGCAGATGGCTACATACCGGTCATAAGACATCACTGTAAGAATGGCCACCTCAGCCCATGCAAAAGTTGTGAAGAAGAAAACCTGGAGCATGCACTGACCATGAGAAATATAGCCATCATCCATCAGAGAATTGTCAATGGACTGGGGGACTGTGACAGAAATGATGGAGAGGTCCAGAAGGGAAAGGTGTTTTAAGAAATAATACATCGGAGAATGGAGACGCTGGTCCAATGTGGTGATGATGATAATGATGAGGTTGCCTGCCAAGGTTAAAAGATACATCACCAGGAACAGGAAAGCCTGTAAAATCTGTAGCTCACGAATGTCAGAAAACCCCATGAGGAGGAATCCACTCGTTGAGGTTATGTTCGCCGAAATCATTTTGAAGATTTCAATTGCAGTGGCAGCTGGAATAAAAGAGGATTTGGAAAATGCAAGAGAAAAATATTAAACTTAATTTTATTTATTTATTCATCATTACTTTCTAAAACAATTATATACTAAGTGCCTGCTATGTCTTATCAGCTGTGTCCTAGATATTTAGATCTAAATGTGTAGCCTATTTTCTACATTAGTAAACCAGTACTTACACTTGAGTCAAATATGTTAAAGTCACTGGTCCTGTCATAAAAATAATTTGCATCACCAAAAAAAAAAAAAAAAACCTACCAACTTCCATTTCCAGTAATGAAAAACACATTGCTTTGTTTTAAGTCAACAACAGGAAAGCAATGATCAGCTATTGACCACAAATTTCTGAAAATTGGATGTGTTGCATTTCTGTATAGGGCACTGCTCTATTTTAGCAGATAGAATAGCTCTATGAAGTACATAAGTATTGGGAATTGAAAAATGGATTAGCTGGCTAAGCAGGATAATCATCAGTTCCTTCCTGTTGAATAATTCTGTCATAAGGAGAGCCCATGTAATCGTGGAGCCTAGGACCAAACTGTACAGTGTTTTCGCCTTTGCAAATACCATCTTATTTAATGGAAATGTCATTGAAATCAAGAGCCAAAACACTTTCTCAAGGAAATACTTATATGTTAGTTTTAGATTCATTATCTAATCTAATTGCTTGGAGCATTTTCTGGTATCGAATTTAGCTTTCTCTTTGAATCTTCCTTTCATTCACTTTCTCTGCCCATTATTTGCAACATCAAAAGCGAATCTGAAGAGGAATGAAGTGATATATATTTCTGAGAAAGGAGAAATCAAATTTAGTTTCATTGTCCAGTGCTTTGGGCTTTGTGGGAGGGAAATAACCAACATTTCTCCCTTCATTAAGATAACCAAAGATAACTCTCAATTGCTGGAGAGTCAATTCCAACTCACAGTGACCTGTAAGAAAGAGTAGAACTGCCCCGCAGGGTTTCCAAGGCTGTAATCATTGTGGAAGCAGACTGTCATCTTACTGTGTGGAACTGCTATCTGGTTTCAACAGCTGAGCTTTTGGTTAGCAGCTAAACACGAAACCACTGAGGCACCAGGGCTTCTTTTCAGTTTGAGGGCTGATGAGTAATTTCATAAGTACCCAGAAAACACCCACTGCCAATGAGTCTATTCTGGCTCAAAGAAATCCTATGAGACAGAATAGAAATGTCTTATAGGTTTTCCTAGGCTATAAAGCATTACAGGGAACAGACTGCCTTCTCTTTCTACCATGGAGCAGCTGGTGGGTTCAAACTGCAGGCCTTTCATTTAGCATCCAATTGCCTTAACCACACACCACAAGGGTTCTTTCACTTAATATCAAGTCCCGCATATTCCTTTTTTTTTTTCCTTTCATCTGTGAGTTCTAAGCAACAATGAAAAAAAATCACTGTATCAGAGTCTCTTGGGGTTTTGTTCTGAATCAGGTGACATCTCACCATTTTTTATATATTAGTAATCCATCTTCTTAGAAATGATAACTGGGAGAATCCTAAATTTGGAGGCCATCATTCCTTCCCCATTTCTTATCCTTTTGAGAGAGGATATTTTTGGTCAACCAATAGCTCTCTCATTTTGCTTTATTTTTCTAATGTCTGATGTCAGTATTTCCTGCTGACCTCCAGACGTATTCTGCCTCCCACACTTCTTCTCTTCCCTGAAGAATGAGTTTAGGATTTGAGCATTCCATTGCTATATCCTACTGTCTGACATGGATCAGTTGTTTTAGATTTACAATAAAAATAGATACTAAATTAAGTAAAATGTTGAAAACATTTGCTGTTATTGCCAAGTATAAGTTTCTTTTTTTCACTCTTTGAAAATAAAACGTAAGGCTAATCTGTCTAGAATTCTCCTAACTTTATCCATTTCTACCAAAATCTCATACTAGATATTAGAGAACAGGAGGAACTACACAGCAATTTGGAGCCATTCTGTTAAAGCAATTTTAGTTTGCTTCTAACATAATTTCTCCCTTTCTGTGTCCTTGTAAAAATGTCATGGTGAAGGTATTGTGATCTGACCTCCTCTAACTCCACAAGAGAATAGGAGGATCATTATTAGAATCAATGGCCCAGGCTGATTGCTATGAGATGGAAGCTCCCTCTCCTGCCTCCATTCTTCAATCTTTTTATCAGTTCTGACAACAACCATCCCTCCCATGGCACTCTCTACTTCTTTACTGGGTTTCATAACTCATTGTAATGGCCACAGAGAAGTCACAGACAATACTCACGATTGTGAGGTAGTTGAGTTGGATCCAACTCATAGTGACCTGTCCTTAGGTTTCTGAGGCAGTATCTTTGTGGGAGTAGATTGCTTAATCTTCCTTCCAAGAAGCAGCAGGTGGGTTTGAACTGCCAGCCTTCTGGTTAGCAGTCAAATGCTTTAGGCATTATGCCACCAGATCTCCTATAAGGGAAGTAATAGATTACAATTCACATTCAGGAACTCTCAGGATACAATCTTTTGATCTGGACTGGCTTTTCTCAATTGTGCAGCAGGCAAGCATATCTCTGTCTCCTTGGCCTCTCTGCCCCAATGCTCCTTGGCCTCTGCCTTGCTCAGGCAAATGTTACAAATTTCTTTTAGCTCTGCTGGTAATTGCTCAGAGGCACCCCACTCCACTAGTAAACGTCCTTCCTGAAGGCATTCAGTTTTCCATTCTCTGGGTTTGGAAGCCCACCAACCACACTGTCCTGCCTTTCTATCTGGTCTCCTGCCTCTACTGTTTCTGCTGCCTCTGCTGCTCACCATCTCTGGTGTTACATCTTTTTGTCTCCTAGGTCCCAGCACAGGGACCCTGGGTCCAAAGGATGCACTCTTCTTGGTGTTTGTCAAGTCCCCCCTTTTTACCTCTGGGATGACTCATTTTAGGCCCAGCAGGATGGCAAAACTAACCAATCTCTGCATTACAGTCCCATACAGTTAATTTCCATTGTTCCACCCTCACAAATGTGCCATGCACTTTATTTACCTTATTAGCAAGCTATCCAATCCCCTTGGTGGATCACAAGCATCTCACATTTGCATAATCTCACCCAGTCATTTGATGAGAGCTACAAGAGACTGCAGCTTAAAGTCCATATTAAGTAATTCACTACACCTCAGTCAAGTTATTTGTTCTCTTTTTTCTTAAATTGGTAAACTGATAAACAGTATTTTTATCCACCCTTAATTTTTACTTTGCTTCCTTAAATATGTTATTTTGCCAAATTTGTACAAGTAATGATCTTTCCAAAAGGGAAGGGTAAAATTAAACAATTTTAAGTGTTTGTTTTTATGGGGCAGAAATTATGCTGGTAATTATCATTAAATAAATTTCATTTAAATAAATTTCATTTAATCCACAGAGACATTATTATATTCTAGGAATGAAGTTCCATTTTTACTGGAAAAAATAAGGCTTATAATACTTAAGTAACATTATTGAGATCTGAGACTCAAACACTTGGCCTTACTAATTCATGTACTACATTACATCTGAAAATCTAAAAATATTGATTAGAGACACACAGAGAGCATTGGAGAAAGGCACAATTACATTGAAAGCATATTCATCCAAGGATCTGTCTCTCATAGTGTTATTAGGAATTACTTGAAGAAATGTTTTGTAATTATTTTACTGCATACTAAAACATTTAACTAGGAGCTCTGGTAGCATAGTGCCTAAGGCACTTGACTGCTAACCAGAAGGCTGGTGGTTCAAACCCACCAGCCACTCCTCGGAAGGAAGGTTGGGCAATCCTACTTCCGTAGTGATACTGCCTCGGAAACCCAAGGAGAGGTCGCTATGAGTCGGGGGCAACTCTATGGCAAATAACAACAACAACAACAAAACATTAACTATCTCAACTAACTGATTTTAATTAAATGTCTCATTACCATAATACATTTATATAAATCTGATATTTGGATTTTGTTAATCAGCTCATTTTTAGGGAAGTTACCTTCCTTATTATTAGATTAACAGTCTTGCATTTTCAAATTTCATTCAAAGAACATAGATTCTGTCATTGTTTCCATAAAATACTCCCCTCTTTCCTTGTCCAAGACTGGAAAACTCACAACAGACATTTTTGGTGTATAGTAGCTATCAAAGCTGATCACCAACATCAAACCTTTCTCTCCTATAATGCTATAGATCTTTTTAAACATGCTTTTTCCCTAAGAACCCAGGATTTTTTGGTTTTGGTCATCTTTCATAAAGAAAGCCTGAACTGAATGATAAAAGTATTTATTTTCTCTACCTCTCTGACAACAAGAAATAATGTAACTAAAATGCACACTCTAATTTCTATAAAACATTAATAATTAAAGTTTGTAATAGGAGTCAGAAATCAGACATCCTATTGCACTGGGCAAATCTGCTGCAAAAGACCTCTTTAAAGTGTTAAGGAGCAAAGATGTCACTTCGAAGACTGAGGTTTGCCTAATCCAAGCCATGGCATTTTCAACCACCTGATGTGCATGTGAAAGCTGGAGAATGAATAAGGAAGACCAAAGAAGAGTTGATGCTTTTGAATTGTGGTGTTGGCAAAGAATATTGGGGGGGGGGGAGGGGAGGGGCATGGACCGCCAGAAGAAGGAACAAATCTGTCCTGGATGAAATGCAGCCAGAATACTCCTTGGAAGCAAGAATGGCCAGACTTCATCCCATCTACTTTGACCTGATGTTGTCAGAGGGATCAGTCCTTGGAAAAGAATATCATGCTTGGTAAAGTAAAGGGTCATTGCAAAAGGGGAAGACCTGAAACAAGATAGATTGACACAGTGGTGGCAATGATGGGTTCAGACATAGCAAGGATTGAAAGGCTGTTGCAGGAGCAGGCAGTATTTTATTCAGTTGCTCGTAGCATAGTACCTAAGGCACTTGACTGCTAACCAGAAGGCTGGCAGTTCAAACACACCAGCCACTCCTTGGAAGGAAGGTTGGACAATCCTACTTC